AGTATTAAAGAAATTACAAAATATTTTATACGACACACATATATTCATAAAATATATTCATAAAATGTATCCATATTGTATTCGTATATAATATGACGATGAAAATAATTTTTTTTTTTTTTTGTAAAAAATTCATATTAACGTTCGAATGCAACTTTCGTGAGCAACTGTACAGGACAATCTTTTTTATATATTTCAGATCTTGAAAACCTCAGCCTCGTATATTTCTGTACTCTACGCAACAAAAGGTTAGTAGAAAGGCGATATCCTATATATAGTTTTCTTGAATTTTACAACTATCCACTTGTTCGATAGAACGGAAGGGAGACCTCACTGTTTTTCTCTGTATGATAAATGTTTCTAAAGAAAGAAGAGACGAGACAAGACCAAGTGAAAAATTGGATACTAAAGTAGAGTAATAAATTTATTAAGTATTAATGAGATTCCACGGGAACACCAGTGCTTTTTGCGAAACCTTGAGGATATCATTTTTCTTTCCTCTTGCCCCTCGACAATTTTCCGTTTCTTCACGAAACTTTCAACGCATATTTGAGCAACTTTAGACTCATTGATGACCGATTGCTTATGAACGACCCGTCGGATACGCCATCGTTGAATTTTTAATCAAACGATCCATCAAACATAGCCCGCACCTAGTATTTTTATCATTAAACGTTGCTCTTGTTAGGTGTGATATTATTATCCTTGTTAATTAGTCGCTTGACAGCTTCTTGACAGCTTTAATACTACGGGTAGATAACGATTCGTATTCTGTCGTTAGCAACCTACATCAAGGATAATAATTTTTTAAATCTTTTGTTACGAAAATTAATTTTCCAAACTTTTTCCAATATTGACGTAAACACAAAAGCACCTGCTTCTCATGTAAAACGTGATAGATCCAGAAGGATTCAGGGAGTTAATTGATGAAATTCTTTTTTATCAACATATAACAATGAAAATATTTCACAAGAATTATTTACAATAATACAGGGAGATAATGAACTGACAATTACATTGACTCAAGCTCCATTGAAAAGATTTTGAATAAAATTAATAATTGATAGGTGCTCAATTCCGAGCAATCTGCTAAAAATTGAAGCTTACAAAATTTTCGTTGCATAAAGTTGTATGAAAGTACAATGAAAAATGTGACACTACGAAGGCTGAAATTCAGTGACAGAGAAAGAAGAACATTGAGATTTTTATTGTAACGTTGAATATATAAGTTTTATACTAAAAGTCTAATCCTACAGATTTATATCCTAATATATTTTAATATAACAGACATTCTAGATTTGTCTTATTATCTGCAAATGTTTTGTTGTGAACAGAAATGTATGTATCTGATTTTTCTGTGATTTACGTTTCATTCTGTTCATTCCATATAATTCCGTTTATATTGATATATAATATATAAATGGAATTAAAACTATTACGCCACTGTGTAATAAAATCCCAGTATAATTGAAGAAAGAAGAAAGGTAATGACAAAAAAGGAAGAATGCCTGCGTTTCGTCTGGAGAATGCTAGCGAACTCATCAGTAATTATTGGAAGCCTTATTGCTAGACATCGAGATACTGGAGATCGAATCAGAAGATATATTTAGGTATCTTTGAAAATTTATTTCCCAGCGTATACTTTTCTAATAGCGAATGAACGTAATAAATCTTTTTTCTTTTTTTATAGGAACTGTATTTTTTAAGATTTCGAAGAAGTTTGCTGCCCCAAATTCTATCAAAATGTATTTTTTAATTCGCTATCACTGGACTGCGAATTATTCTTCTGTTGTGAAAGAAAGAAAAACGAAACACACATGCACACTGCCATTCATAAGTAACGTAACGTGATTTTAAATATAAGGTGTAATAAAATATTTGAAACATAACACAATCTAGTTTTTGTTATAGTACATATGATTAGTAAGAATCGACCTCGTTTTATGATTATGTTCATTCACATTTATTCCAAGTAAACGAAAAGTAAGTATATGTAATTAATGAACGATAGTGCATCTGTAATTATCTGTACAAGTTTATTAGGTGAAAAAATTAATTCAAACGGACGGAAACTTTGACACAACTCATTTTTTTTCACAACTGGCATTAATTTTTTTTGTTTTTTTTTTTCACGTACACCCATCTCCCATACAAAAGCAAGATTAGTACATATATATAAGTACATATATAAAAATAAGTACTCAAGATTAGACTCGCATCTATACTCAATAAATAAACTGCACCTATCGCGTGGACGATCGAGTAAAAGTTGCAGAGTTTTCACCGTTTATTTCCGTCAACGTTGACGAAAGAAAGTCTCCGTGGCACCGAACTAATAAACGTTATTAACAATTGCGCACGGAACATCATCACAATGGGTGAAAACGAGGAGAGATTGTCCACCGTTTACTCTGATGCACACGGATAAAAACGAACAGGCTTTACGGTTTGTTGGCAAGACAGAAGGCCACCTTATAAAAATCATCGCCCCCGTCGATTTCGACGTTATTTCAGTTTCTTTCACATCGCGAAACACGCTACTCTCCTCTTTCACGTGCGTGATTCTTTTCATACAATACGATGGATAATTTTGTATAAAGTCAATATTTTATTCGGTCCACGGAATACTTTTATAATTTAAGATTAAAAAGTTTAACCCGTTGTGTATGTGATAAGAAATAAAGTTAAGTCGATAGAAGATGATGTTGAACGCGAAGATTTTAATTATGGCCTTGGTGATTTACGGAGTTATTGCTAGAAACACGGATGGCAATGTAGATTTTCTTAAGGAAACGAGTAATAAAAAGCATGGGGGTTCTATGTTGATGGAAATAGCGAAGGAGCTTGTGCAAAGATCTTCGACTAGTAGTCAGGTATAATAATATATAATTGAAATATAATTAATACATATAATACATAATATATAATTGGCAATTATTTAGTTTCATGAAATTCCCAGCTATCTTTTACGATTTCGAAATTACGATTTGATTCAGTGATAGGGAACACCTTGTACAAAGCTCTCTGCTTTTTATCCTAATTTATTTCAATTTTTATTCCAAAGTTGTATTACAAGAATAGAATGTCTATACCACACATGTAGTAACAGATTTGAATAATGAAAACTTGAATAAAGAGGCTGAATACTGTAAGGAAGGTTTAGTATTCAGAATTGATCAATGTATTCTAACAATAAGGAATTAAATAAAATTAATTAAGAATGAGGAATAAACGAAATATTAAAATTCAATGATACAACTGTTACAGGTATTGAATCTAAATTTATCAAATTTGCTATTACTTTTGGTATTGAAAGCAGTTGTGTTTGGAGCAAGATATTTGGGCCATCATGACAAAGGCCGTGAATTAGAAGAAGGTTTACAATTTGAAATGTTTATTGAATCTTTCTTATTGATAGGAATATATTGAAAATAGTGATTTATGTACAGAAAATATGGTATCCGAGGGAGAAGTTACATTGGCATTAGGGTATTTAATGGGAGATACTTGTCTATATAGAGCAGCTTGTGAAGAACCTTATGTTGCGAAGGAATACCTAGGAGCCGCAGAAATGATCATGCAAACGATGAAATTGTTGTCCCAGTACGTAATTCTAAATTCTATTTGACGTTATTACATTCAATTATATTTGCATTTGTTAATTAGACTACGAATTTTTGATACTTCATTTATATAATATCCAAAGATGTATAAAATACCTAAAGTATTCGTTATAATAATTAGTATACGAAATCTCTGCTTGAATCCTGCATTTTTTTATAGAGATAAATATTTAATAATAATTAATAAAAAGAGAAGATTCTGATTTTCCTATAATAAATAATATGTACAAATATCACTGATATTTGTCAATTTTCCGAATTTCTTCTTTAAAACAAAGTAAGTAATTCTTCACATATATAATTGAATGTAATATTTTACAGGGGTTCGTCAATTAAAGGAAACTACGAGCAAACAATGGCAGAATTACAGAAAGCTATCGAATATGGCATTACAGATGGCTGTCCGCCTCAATATACTTGCAAGAAAGAGAATATTAAGAATTTCTTGAGAGAAGAGAAGAAATAATTGCGGAAATATATACCCTTAATTAAGTTGTAATATTCTGGAAGAATTTATAGCATGTTGAATATTTGTAGAAATGAATTATGCGCCTTTTTAATCTCTTACAATTATTGCACTTATCCAGCTTGATAATTGAAGACCAACTGAAGAAATTAACCTCTATTGATTTTGTTCATTTTTTAAGTAAATACTTGCGTGAACCATGAAATATACATATATATACATACATACATATAATTTAAATATATTTAGATTGTAATGACAAGTAGATTAAATACTTAGTCCACAACATTTTGTTTTTTTTTTTTTAATTATATTTCTAATATATATTATACATATACTGTACTTTAATTGTTACTCTTGTCATTATACTGTACACTTTAACTATTTTAATTCTAATAATGTATCTATTTTTGGAGGGGTATCATCATGTATCAAATGACCAATAAATTATGCATGTGTATGTTGATATTATTTCAACATTTTTATTATGTGAAAATGATCAGTATATATAGTCAATATGATCATCTGAGGTTTTACGAGAATGTTGAAAAATATTGATATTTGAACGCTTCCACGATATATGATAATATCTTTTTCTTCAAACAATTTAAATGATCTCAAAAACTGTCTAACTTGATATTTCATTTTCCTAACATTGTTATATATAGAGATATGTCTATCTAGAATTCGCGATACTTGAAGTATTAATACCAGTATGCACGCAATTTTACTTTTCATTTCAATGTAACGTATTGTTACGCCGATATGAAGTTGATCGACTGAAGAGGCAATTTAAACAAAAAGTCGCAATACGACCACCGAAATGTGCGGATGGTGTATTCCAGATGTAATAAAGTTTTATCTATACAAAAGAACTACGTTAATTCTCTGGCGATCTCGAGGCGGACTTCCGCGAGGCTTAACAATATTGTAGCATATCGAACGTTCTTACCTTTTTTTCCCGCTAAAATATCAGAAATTCCATTCCACGATTTTAAATTCATGTCCGCGTACTCCATTTTGACATTCCACGCATTTCCTTTCCTAGACATAATTTAATTTTCATTGAAAATTTCATTGAGAATTTCATTGGCAATTGTCTTAAACATAACGTGATGCTTAATAAAAGCGTAAAGCATTAATTTACCTATTTTTCCTGACTTTTTCTGATTTCATTTCACTTTTACGTCGGAGAAACCACGCATCCGTGTCGCGATCATTTGAAAACTAAAAGTTTTCGCACTGACCACCAGATGTCAGTTCGTTTGACGGCTAACCTGACTGATACGCGGGCATGTACACAACTTATCCAGTCATACGGCGCTGACGATCAAGTTTTGATTTTCGCCTATTCACGCCATTCGAGCGTATAAACAATTTTTGGTTAGAATAGTATTACGATATTTATATCTGTAATTCGGTGAAAAAATGAGTTCCATAGGCACAGGGGTAAATATACGACGTGCTAATTGAAAAGAAATCTTGAGGAATCGTGAACGGTAACACAACCTAACCTCCTTTTGCTTTTTAGTATGACTTGTCTGCTTCTCAATTTTCACCTGACGGACGTGTGTTTCAAGTCGAATATGCGCAGAAAGCTGTTGAAAATGGAGGGTAAGTGTTAAATTAATTTTCATTATTGATTTATTCCAAAAGTATTGCTACGAATCCAATTACCTACTCTGATCACGTATCTTGAAGAATACTGTAATGACAGAGATAGTTTTCAGTAATTCCATGACTTTTGTTTCAATCTTAAATGTTTATTAAATGTTTTTACTGGAGAATTATGCAGAGATTCTGATTACAGAACAGTCATAGGACTGAGAGGAAAAGATGGCATTGTATTCGCTGTGGAAAAGATAGTTACGTCAAAGCTCTATGAGGTTGGCACGAACAAAAGAATATTCAATATAGATCAACATGTTGGTATGGCAGTTTCTGGTTTGATATCAGATGCCAGACAAATCGTAGAGATCGCTAGATCAGAAGCATCTAGTTACAAGTCTCAGTATGGGATCGGTATCCCTTTGAAATATTTAAACGAAAGAGTTTCCATGTACATGCATGCATACACTTTATATTCAGCAGTCAGGCCTTATGGCTGTTCCGTAATTCTTGGTGCCTATGAACACGATGGTCCAGCTATGTATATGATAGATCCTTCTGGAGTTTCGTACGGATACTATGGCTGCGCCGTTGGTAAGTATTAATACATGTATTTTGTTAAGTTCTTCCTATTAACGTGTAATATTTAATATTTAAATTTATTATTCAATAGGCAAAGCAAAACAGTCAGCAAAGACGGAAATTGAAAAATTGAAGTTATCTGAAATGACTTGTAACGAATTAGTAAAAGAAGCAGCGCGTATAATCTACCTCGTTCACGATGAATTGAAAGACAAACAGTTCGAGCTTGAAATGAGCTGGGTTGGTAAACACACGAACGGAAGGCACGAACGTATACCAGCGGATATAAAAACCGACGCCGAGACAAAAGCGAAACAGGCAATGGCGGAAGATTCAGACAGTGAGACAGAAGACATGTTATAATTCAATAATATGCTACAATTTATATCTACAAAATTTTTTGTCAACAATAATTCAGTCAAATAAAGAATACCGTCTGTTGTTTATAAAATAGCATACTCTTTCTTTTTAACACGTCGTTTAATTTCGTACTCTTTTGATGTGTTACAAACGAGATGATGGATTTTTTTTAGTGTGACGTAACTTTAATCCATCAAAGAAAAATCTTCCACCCATTTATTTAACGCAAATTACGTTAACAATGGACTGCCAATAATCCACAAATAACGAATACGATCCTCAGCGGCGTTAATTGGATTTACAAATCTTTCTGTCGACAAATGAATTTACAAATCTTTATACTCTAAATGAAATAACTGTTATACAACGAAACTAATTTTATTTATTATACAACGAAACTAATTTTATTTAACAAAATAATTCTTAGCAATTTTATAATTCTAATCTGGCTTGTGATCTTAGTTAGATTTGTTATAAATCGTTACGTAGCAATTCTTGAAGTGATAGATCAAATGATTTTATCACGTTCTTTATATTGATTTCTCCAATGCAATATGATTTTCATACATTTATCTGTATTATTATTCAAATTATTCCGCACTATATCATTTTAACTAGTTTTAATAGCTTATATTGTATTCATTTAAAAAAATCAGAAATGAGTTTAATCTACATAAAAGTGGTTGTCTTGTGAATTAGAATGAAGTAAAAAAATTTAGGAGATTAAAAGATTAATTATTGTCGATATTAACCCTGTTGCGATTTAGTAAACGGAAAGGATTTATAATATTACATCTTATTAACATAAAACTTAATCAAAGAAAGTAACAAAAATTTTTTCATATTTAAATTTGAGATACTTTTTAATTTTAGAGAAGTATAAATGAGTCGAGAATTACGAAAAGAACGCAGAAGAGTTATAGTGGTTAGTTATAGGGATGTAATTCTATTTCACAAGATAATCAATTTCATATAAATGAAATTCATCTTCAATTCTTTTGAATAAATCTAACAACATAAATGATAAAAATTTAAGTGACATAACAATAATGAAGATAATTACACAAAAGTCATACTGTACCACCTCGAGACACAACGATATAAAATTTCAAAACTTTTGATCTACAACACAATTTACTACTAGCAATTCTTGTATCTAATGAATCGTTTGAAAATTGGCAACTCTAGGAATATCCCTTTAATTAACATAGAAGGTTTCGAAAGTATCAACGAATTATGAACACTTTTCACAATTCGTTTCTGTCTAACCAGAGCACACGTAATACATAATCCAAATAAACTTGATTCCAGCATTAACCCCGAAGATCGTACCACAAACTGGATCCCTACCTTCTTCGATCACCTACTTTCATCATCCTCAGAGGGGAATATCCTTGCCCAAAGCAATTAACTGTATCAAGTCGACCAGGTTGGAAAAACAACATGACAACAATATGATATAAGAACAATATGATGTTGTCGTAATGGAATGAAACCGGCGATCGCGAGGGGGTGAGCACTGGATTCAATGCTATTGGTTTCGCGCATGCTGTTTCTCTCTGTTGGCGAGAGGGTTGGTTTTTCAGCCGACAGCGACCGCCGCGCTGGTAGAGACTACGTGCAACCGGAGGGAAGAGGATAGTTTCACCCGGGCTTTATATAAGGGTAGGTAGAGTTTGAAAGTTGCTCATAAACTGCTTATAATTGATGCATGCGGTTCGCTTTTTGCGTTGCCTCGAGAAAAAGGGAAACGTGATCCATCGCGATTTGATGATCGACGGATTCGATCTACACGCGGTGCGCTTCTCCTTTGTTCTTTTCCGTTGGTTTTCGTCTCGCATCGCTAGTAGAAAAGGTGGAAGAATAAGAAGAAAGAAAGAACGAAAATAGAGAGAGAGAAATGTTTTTGAACCGCAGCACCGTGGATAATGTTTACGGGGTGGAAAATCAAGTCAGTCCGGTGGTGTACGTTAGTGCGGCGATCACGTTGGGATTTATCGGATTCTTCGGGTTCACCATGAACCTTTTGGTGGCGGTGGTGATCGTCAAAGACGCGGAGACACTTTGGACACCTGTCAACGTGATCCTGGTTAATCTTGTCGTAAGTCGTTACATAATTATATAATTTTTTTTAAGACGTTTTTCATTTATTCGTTGGTTCTTCGAATTTATAAGGAATGATTTGTATTGTATTTACGTATATGAAATGTCTCCTGACCATTAAACTTTTATTTTGTGACTAATTATAACTATATATTTAATGCTGAGAAAATTCGTTATAAAAATATGAAACTCTAAAATATTATTAATAAAATTTTACTAATAATATTATGCAGGAAGACCTTATTAAATTTTTTGAGTGACTTCATTCCAGAAGATATTTCTTATAATTAACTTTAACTTCATTAACAAAGATAAGAGAAAGAATGAATTCATTACTTCTTAACGAAGTTTTATAGTATTATACATTTAATTAATCACTTCAAAATATAGAAATCTAATAATAATTAAACCTACTGTTTAATTTAAAAAAGTAAATTTATTATTTATAAATCATAAATATTTATCATTATACGATTTATTATTATATTATATGAGTAATTATTATTAAGTAATTTTGCATTAATTTTACATAAATAACACAAAAGACATAATTCCATTAGAAAACGGATGACGAAAAGAAAACGAGAGTTTCTTGTGAAATCGCTTGATTACGAAAGGTAATTTTAATGATGATCATGGTTTTTAACGCAACACGGTTAAGTGTAATTTCTGAATGATGGAGAACAACATTATACACACAGTCAGAAGCATTTATGTGAAATTTCAGTCGTGCAATGTGCCGAGAAAATGTTAATGTTCGCGTATGTGAGTAATTTATGCGCGATAAGACGTTCCCTCTGCAACCCTTTTACGGTGCGCAGTATAGTAAACATATTAAATGCATTATATATTGCGTTACTCACGTAGAAACTGTGTCATTTAATATTATGCGAATGAATTGCTTGTAGAAAACCACGTAGCTTTGACTAAATTCATAAAATTTATTTTCCATCTTTTAAGTTAAAGATTCTTTGATTTATTTTTACAAGTTTAAAAAGGATCCGATGTTATCGTGTATTTCTTTATTTTGACCTAATTTCTCAAATCAACTTCTAATTTTTTTTTAAATTGAATTTTTCCCGTTTTTTTTTTATTTTTATGTGTTAACAATGAATCCAATATTAATTGTGTATGACATGAGTTTCACTGTCAATATAATTGCACGTGCAATTAACGTATATATTTGAATTATTGAACCTATTTTGCGAAATTATAAATTTTATCGATTGTTTAGCAAAATTGATTAACAGATCAGCGAAAAGAATTTATTTCTTGTTCTTCTTTTTATTTTTCTTTTAATTGAAACTGTGGGAAAATTGAAATCGTCAGAAACAATTTGGAAACCAATATCAATTTTCTTAACTAAGACCTTTATTAAAACAGAACTTCCTTACGTTGATTGATTAATAAAAGTCAACGTTTCATGTATTAAATTCTCTATTGTATCATTAATATTTTCGAAAAGGAGAAATTTTAACCATCAGAATTTGAAATTATTTAATTTGAATTTGTTGAGTATTAATATGTCGACATTTTGATATTAAAATACATTTGAAATATTATTTATCTGTAACTTTATAATTAGTTTTCAAAGAGAGTGAAATACTTTATCTTAATTATATTGTAAATAGATGGATTTTTGTTGCGATTGTGAAATTAAAGAAATAGAGTATTGCATTTTATTCTTCATATATTCTTAGCTTATCATATCCTTTTTAGCTTATCGTAATTTCAAAATTACTATATACGTATTTATCTTCGCATATTATATACAATTATTTTTAAATTTTTTCTAGATGTATAAACATTCGCAGTCTAATTATAAATATATGCGATAACTATAGATATTGTGAAGGTAAATTTAAAAAACCAAAATGATTTTCTGAACTCATGAAATTTGTAATTTAAGAGAGTTTATAAAATTCTTAAAATCTAATCTCTCAATTATAAACTTATAATTATATTTTTTAAAAAACATCCGAAATATTTAAAAAAGGCGCAGTGATAAAGGCTCGTTTGACGATAATTCTGAATTAAAAATAAAACAAAATATTCAGAGAGATGATGTCTGTTCGATAGTTGTTCGGTATTTGATTTATATCCTGGAATTTTATATTTTTTCCCAAACGTGAAAGAAGACGAGAATAGAAGGTTTGTAATTCGAGGAATTATAATTAAGATAGGTGAGATTGCGCATACTTCAGCAACGAAGGTGACAGGAAGAAATTCGCTTCATCCAGAAAAGTGAATCTACCTCATAGTATTATGTCGATAAAATTCGCGGAGCTTTTACGGCGGAGAATTATTCTTGAGAGACGCTTGACTTTAAGGAAGCATTGAAATTTTCGACAACGATATCACAGTCTGTATTAACCAGACTGTATACAAATTTTTCACTTTCCTTCCAGTTTGATCAATAATTTTTAACAGTAAAAATTGACTTACCTTCTGCGACTTTCTAAATTTTCCAGTTTCGATAAAAAATTTTCAACTCTCGAGGTATAAATTTTAGATTTGTGGATTTTAAAGTTTAAGCTTTAAATTACCAAACATTCACGACACTCACGGTTCTACAATTGATTCTACAATTGATTCCGAGTTGCAAGTTTTAAATTTCTTAAGTTTCCAAATTTTTCAAACTTTCAAGCAAACATTTAACAGAACGCACGGTGGCAATGAAGTGGAATGTTATAATATTTAATGAAACGAATTTCCATCTGCGCTCCAATTCTTCGGTTACACTTGCAAAAATATAAAAGTGCATTAATTTTCGCGATCTATTAATAAGAACAATACGTTGAGAAATAATTGTACTTTTCTTCCACAAGATAAGTTTACATTCCCTGGAGGAAAGAAAAACGATAGCGATCTAGTTTATTCTTGTTTCGTAACTATAGACAACCAACATAATAGAACATTTCGTTACACGCAAATTCAACTTGGAATACAATAAGGCGAAATTATAATAACTTTTCTAACTTTAACTATTCCCTCTTGCGTACTTTTAATTGGATCCTATTATCGTGCTTTTGTATTTCGTATTTATGTAAAAATTTGAGAAAAATTCCACGAACAGCTAGTTTATAAATACGTCATTTGAATCTGAATGGAACGATCATGTTAGATGTCGAATCGGATAAGGAGCATATTAAATCTATTCTAAATTTCAGTTATTTTCAAACCAGGTCAAATTAGGTTTGCGAAGATCCAACTCCACCGCATTTCGGCTGGGTTTGAATAATTTAAGTCACTTCGATGTCGAAACATGCCGTGATTGCCTCGAAGCATTTACGCTTTTACTAAACCGTTTATTCGTTTATCAGAGTGATGTAACTTGAGTGATGTTTGAGGAGAAATAATAATTCAAAGTGTCGTGCATTCTTTGGTACTGTATTTTATTTAATAATATTGATCCACTGATGTAATCTTTTCAGTAATTTTATTCTAGTTTTTTTTTTTTTAGGAGAAAACTAGTACTTTAAATTATTCGCATTGGTATTGAATATCTGTGTAAAAAGATTAATGAACCGAAAATTAAATTAATAATCTCTCCAAAAATCTGTTTCAAAAGTTCAGTTCGTTCATATTATATTACTTCTTTTCAACCATTAAAGTCTGATTGTGAGAGAAAATTAATAAAAACGTTTCTCTTTTCTTGTCGAGTAATTAAAGAACAATTTCTACTTCAGGTTGGCGACTTCCTGGTGGCCGCATTTGGGAATCCTGTCGCCATGGTATCCGCTATCACAGGCGGATGGTACTGGGGTTACAAAATGTGTCTCTGGTATAACTCATTGTTTATTAAACATAATCGCGCGAAATTCCTCCGACTGAGGAACACCGGCTACAACGTAATTTTCCCAGCGTACGAATGTCATCCTGAACGAATGTAATCTCCCTTCCTTTGCTCATTCTCTCCCTTCTTCAACGTGTTTTCGTTACAACCGCGAAGCGCGTCGTAAGTTCCTTTTTCTCGCCGTTTGAAGCGGCTGACTCCGACGAATCGAAGGGAACTCTGGTGATTTTCACTGGAAATTAATGTCCGAGTAGAATATTGAAGCTGTCTCTATCTATCGTCTTTGCATTTTTTTTTTTTTTTTTTTTTTT